ACATGATACAAATGATAATTATTATTTTATTAAAATATCAACCCTTAATAACATAGAAACACTAAGAACTCAAAGCCTAGTAAATAATAAGGACTTTTATAATTAAAAAGGTTCCATTCCCTAGGATAAACCGCAAAAAATTGGAAACAAAAATAAAAAGATAAAACTAGAATGAAAAAATTTAATATTATAAAATTGAAATAGTCTCAAATTTAATTTGATCAATTGAAAGAGTTTTAAAACCCCAGTTTACAATATATTAGAACCCATTTTTTCAAATTAGAATGTACAAAAAGTGCAATTTGGGCTATAAAAATATAAAATTACCTTAAAATAAAAGACATATTTTGGTATAAAATAGATTCAAAAACATTTTTTCTAATAGATAATGTAAAAAGCTCTGACACTAATGAACTCTAATTTAATTTAAAAAAAATACAACTTACATTTATTTAAAATAACTTTATCTTAAAAATAATTACAAAAGAAAATCATACAATATAGATTTAAAGTAAAAAAAAAAAAGACCAAATGTTGTGCAACGCATAGGTTAAAATAACTAAATAAGAAATTAATAAGAGTGTTATTTAATTTTATTTGTTATTTGATCATAATTCTAAAGGAATTGAAACACAAAATCCGAAGGAATTTATGTTCGTATTTAACTTTAGTTCTTTAATCGAAAGAAAAAAAAAATTGTATGAATCTTTAATTGAGATAATAGTAAAAAAAATTTTGTTTGGATTATGAGATATAGATTAATATTGAATGTTTCTTAAATTTTCTTAATATATATATATATATATATTTTTTAACAATGCTCAACATGACTTTAAAAAAGTACTTTTGCTAATTACCAAAAATAATCTTAAACCCAACCTTAATCATTTAATTAAAATTTTTTTGACTAAAAAATCCTTATAAAATTCAAAAATTGATAAGTAATAATATAGAATGTAAGTTTTAATATAAAAAATTGAAGAATAACCTGTGTAACTATTGAAAAAAAAAAAAAAACCGCTAATTATGAAAAAGAATAGTCTAAGATATATTTATGGTTAAATCTTTAAAAACATTAAAGACGAACCAGCGCGCTTAAGATCTAGTCCATGTTAAAATAGCAATATAACAAGCTAAACAACTCTTGAAGTGAACAACTCTTGCAGTGTCACTCCGCGGAGCAGAAAGGCAAACGGCCAACCGGTTGGAGTGGGCAATCAACGAGGGAGATTGGAAGACCGTACATGAGATTTTTCAAGAGAGCTCATTTCCAATAAATGGGATAATTGATGACGGCAATCAAACTGCTCTTCATGTTGCAGTTGTAGCTGGTGCTGTAGAGATCACTGAGGAATTGATCCGGAGAATGTCAGAAACAGACTTGGAAATACAAGATATGGTTGGTTTCACGGCTCTTCACCTTGCTGCTCATCGTGCGACGAAGATAGCAGAATGCTTGGTTGAAAAGAATCCGAAGTTACTAACCCTTGGCGATGAGCGAGGATTGCTCCCCATTATACAGGCATGTGCTTCTGGTGATAAGGATTTGACCAAGTATCTTTATTCTAAGACCCCTAAAGAATTCCTAAGCCCAGATGGTGGCAAAAGTGGGCCTGCTCTCGTCAATTATACCATAAGTGGCAAAATGTTCGGTAAAAATTAGTAGAACTTCATTCATCCCAAGTTCATTGGCATTCTTGCCATATATGATACATGATCAGCGTGCCAGTGTGTTTTTGTCTAATAAATATTTTTTTGTTG